ATTTTATTTAACAGTCAATAAGATAAACATACACAGTACATTCCCCATCACCTTGGTACAGAAATCATTGGTGTCCCTGGAGGTACAGGTGGAGGAAAGCCAGGAAACTGGAGTGGGTGCTGGGATTCCTATGGGAGGGCGATTCAAATGAGGAAATGCCATTCTGACTGCATCCGTCCACCGCTGAGTAATCGGTATGATCTTCATGGGCTCTTGGGCGTCAGGTTAGGAGTGGGCTCCACAGGTTCTAGGTTTCTGAGCTCAGCCAGACTGAGAGACTGGGTCTGAAGCACCTACTCGAATAGGCCGCAAACACACCTGCCACTCGGGCTTCTTACTGCCTTGCCCTGCTTGATTTCCTACCTTGGCTGTTTTCATGAGGGACTGTTATATGCATGTTCAAGTTGAATAAAGTCTTTTCTCCAGGTTGCTTTGGTAATAATGATTTTCATAGCAATTGAAATCAAACTAGGTCAGAAAGTAAAAACATTTGTAGCACAAACATGTGGACTTCTGTTCAGCTCTCAAGCACCCATGTAAAAGAAGTGGTCCAGTAACTCCTAAGCTGTGGGGGAGAGGAGATGAAAAGATTGCAATGGCTTGGTTGCTACCAGCCTAGCTCCAGATTGAATGAGAACCACGGTCTTATGAAAATGAATATTACATCAGGACATCTGACCGCCCCTTCTGTTCTCTACACATGGGCATGAGCAAGTGCCCCCTACACACACACACACACACACACACACAGACACACACACACACACACAGACACACACAGACACACACACACACAGACACACACAGACACACACACACACAGACACACACAGACACACACACACACAGACACACACAGACACACACACACACAGACACACACAGACACACACACACACAGACACACACAGACACACACACACACAGACACACACAGACACACACACACACAGACACACACAGACACACACACACACAGACACACACAGACACACACACACACAGACACACACAGACACACACACACACAGACACACACAGACACACACACACACAGACACACACAGACACACACACACACAGACACACACAGACACACACACACACAGACACACACAGACACACACACACACAGACACACACAGACACACACACACACAGACACACACAGACACACACACACACAGACACACACAGACACACACACACACAGACACACACAGACACACACACACACAGACACACACAGACACACACACACACAGACACACACAGACACACACACACACAGACACACACAGACACACACACACACAGACACACACAGACACACACACACACAGACACACACAGACACACACACACACAGACACACACAGACACACACACACACAGACACACACAGACACACACACACACAGACACACACAGACACACACACACACACACACACACACACACACACACACGACATCTCTAAAAGGGTTCTATTAGTGTCCAAAGGCTTTTTTAGTATTTAGATTAATACAATGTACTTTTCAACTTCTGGGTCTTGTTTGCTGTCTGAGGAAAGAACCAAAGATGAATCTTAGGTGTTCCAAAGAGTTCACAGTTAAGCCATTGTGATAGACACTTACATTGGACACACTCGTTTTCATTAACTTAGTCTAGGTATAGTATAAGATCACCTCTGCTATGCCCATGTCTTCCCACCCTGGAAGTACTTCTGAATGAATATTAACTATCCTTTGTTAAGCAGGCATTTACAAATATGCCTGGATGCCAGCAGAAAACAGAGACTGGGTGACAATAACACTTCTGGTATTATGAAAAAGCTGATTTATAGGCATGGATATTGGTATGCTAATAAAGTATATAGTAAATTTTGAAGGTCTTTTGGATACATATGAAATTAAAATTGCATACTGAAGTATGTGTAGTCTTAGCTGATATGTCTTGAATAATATTCTCCTATTATGGTGTTGACAACCCGATAGCAAGAGCTGTAAGAGATCTGTTAACAGTTAAGTTGTGTCAAATATTATCTTCCCAGGTTTAAAACTTGTTTTCCTTATTTGTGAGAATCTTGGAGTAGAATGATTTCATTTTTAATCTTATGCGCCTATATCACATTGAATTGCCTACAGTGGCACCTGTTAATGATCACTTAAATAGAATGTTAATCAGACGAGTTTTAGCTGTATTTCTGATTAGGATACTTTTTGGATAATCAAGGCATTTTCTTTTCTCTTTGATTAAGAGGATTAACTGCCTAATCTTAATTGATAGTTTTAAAAATTCATCATTGAAAGATTTCTCTAAAATGACACATCTGTTTTTGTAATGGCACTTTCCTACTTTAGCCCTCAACAGGCTCCTACTGTTCAATTTTTCTCCCACAGGGTCTTACATCCTTTACCATATTAATATAGAAAATTATTTTTTCCATAGAGACTCAGTGCAGATCTAGTCACTATTGTCCTACTTTCTCAATAATTCTCATTGTCTCTCTCTTTAAAGTGTTTATTTTTATTTCATTTAAAAAAGTTTTTAGTTGAAATAGAAATTATATCACTTTCTCCCTCCCTTTTCCTCCTCCAGCCCCTCCTAATCACCCTCTGTCAAGCAATTATTCTGTTATGTTTTTGTTTTTCTTTTTTTGAGGCAGGGTTTCTCTGTGGCTTTGGAGGCAGTCCTGGAACTAGCTCTTGTAGACTAGCCTGGTCTGTAACTCACAGGGATCCGCCTGCCTCTGCTTCCCAAGTGCTGAGATTAAAGGCATGCACTACCACAGCCCGGCCAAACTGTTACTCTTGAGAGTTGAAATTCAATTTCATTTTTTATTACTCTTTCTACATGCATATCTAGGTGAAATACAAGTGTGTGTGTGTGTGTGTGTGTGTGTGTGTGTGTGTGTGTGCAAACTTCTGAGTTCTCAGGAGTATATAGGCAGGTCATATGGTAGATTTGTTTTTATTTTATGTTTTTTATGATTGTCCATATTGGAGTCCAGAGTGGCTGAACCAGTTTGTATACCATCAACAGTGAATGAAGATTTTTTTAATACAGGCTAGATGGTATTTGTTGTCATTTGTTTTGCTGATCTTAGTGTTCTGACTAGCATGTGATAATATCTATTATTTTAATTTGTATTATAATTTGCATTATTTAGTTTCCCTGATTATAAAGTATACTGAACACATTTTGAATTATTTTGTAGCCAGTTTTTCTTCAGTTGAGAACTCTGTTTAGATGCCTACTCCATTTTTAATTGGGTCCTCTGATTCCTTGATTCATTGTTTTTTTGAGTTCTTATATATTTTGGATACTAATACTGTGTTGATGTATAGATGGCAAAGGTTCCCCTAGTTTCTTCTTTCATTGATGAATTACTTACCTTGCTGTATGGACTATTTTTAATTTTATGACATTCTAGTTTCAGTTGTTGGGCTTACTTCCTTGACCAATGAAGCCTGTTCACTAAGTTTTTATTTGTTCGTTTCTTTAAACATCCACGTATTGTAGGGAACTGCATATGTTTTCCTCTAGTTATTTTAATGTTTCAGGTTTCTAAATGAGACTTTGATCCACTTGGGTCTGATTCTGTGCAGAATGATAGGAACTGATCTAATTTAATTTTTCTGCCAGTACTCAATTTTAAAGAAGGCTGAGAAATCCTCATTCCAAGCCTCCAGTTGTTTATATTATGACCTATTCTCCTATATGTCTGACCAACATTCTTCCTTCCTTCTTTCTAATTTCCCTCTCCTCATTGCTTCCTTTTCCTCCTCCCTCACTCAACTCTCTCTGTTCTTCAGTCCTCTCTCTCTCTCTCTCTCTCTCTCTCTCTCTCTCCCTTATTTTTCAATCATGGGCTCAATTGGAAAGGATAATTCCTTTTAAATTTTATTTATTATATTTTATGAATGTGAACATTTTGCTTACACACATATATACATACATATACATGTATGTATGTATAATGTGGTACACAGATATATATCTGTGAGCCACATGGTTGGTGCCTGATGCCTGTGGAGATTATCAGAAAACATTAGATCTCTTGCAACTAGAGTTATGATCCATTATAGTTGGGATCCACTATTTGGCTGCTTGCAATGAAACCAAGCTAGTTCTCTCTTAATTATTAACTGATTTCTATGAATCTGTGTATCTCCACATGGTCTTAGCTAACTGGTGATGCCCAGACCACTTGCTTCCTCAGCAGCCAAGTGGTATCTCTCTGACTCTGCCTACTACCTTTCTCTATCCCTGTTTGGATTTCCTGCCTGGCTAAATCCTGCCTGTTCATTGGCTGAAACAGCCTTATTCATCAACCAATAAGAGAAACATATGTTCACAGCATACAGAAGGACATCCCCATCAATGGTCCCATGAAAACCCTAACCTGGAGAGTATAATATATACTCAGAGGATTTGGTTCAGACCTGTGCAGGCCCTGTGTTTGTTGCTTAAATCTCTGTGAGTTCACCTGAGCTCTACGTTGATTCAGAGGACCTTCACCTAGTGTCCTTCATCCCCTATGACACTTAAAATCTTTCATCCACTTACCCTTTTGAAAGTGAAAAGTCAGATTTGTTTAGTTAGCAAAGGCTTAAAATGATGAAACAATTCATTGAAACTTAATTTATATTAATATGAAATGAATTAATTATGTCAATAATTTCTTAAATAAACTGTTTAGTTTTAAAAAGCAGCTTTCAGTTTTGATAATAAAAATTCAAGTTTACAGTAATAATAGATTATCCTTTAAATTGGCACAAATACAGAAGAAAAATTGCTTTGTCTAGCACATTGTCTTTGGGGTTCAAACACACACACACACACACACACACACACACACACACACACACACACACACACACACACTCAAAACTAATTCACCTTTTAAGAAAACTTTCTGAAAATGATTCCTACCTGCATTGATCAGAAATGTTGAGACTTTCTTTTTTTTAAATTCCTTTTATTCATTCTGTGTGTCTTATGCATCATGTATCTTTTTTTCCCAACTCTTTTTATTTGAATTAGAAACAGGACTGTTTTACATGACAATCCCATTTCCCTTCTCCCACCTGTCCTCCCCTACCCGCCCCACCCCAACTAAAACCTTATCTATCACATGTCTTTTCTGCACCCCCTGGATGGTGAGGCCTTCCATAGGGTGTCATCAGAGTCTTTCATATCCTTCGGGATAGGGCCTAGGCCCACCCCTGTGTGTCTTGGCTCAGGGAGTATTCAAACAAAGAGAATTTTCTTGGTGAGGGGACCATGGCTTGTGGTCACAATTTTAGCCAGACTTGTCAGGTTATAGATTGCCAGGAGCTAATCTCTAGATGACTGGGCCTAATAAAAGGATAAGAGCATTTTTCTAAATCAAAGCCATTATAGGAAGTGTTTGGTCCCAAAATTGGGTCTCTGCTTTCATAAGATTACCCAGCAAGTTAAATAAACTCTAAAGTGCTTAAACATATGAACAGATGACCTCAGCATTTTTCATTTCATGAATAATGTATTTTCAATTAAATAATATTTTTTATTGTTGACTTTATGTTACTATGTATTTCAGTGTCTTTATTTATTGAAATTTTAGATGAAAACTGTGAACATTGTGTTATCAATGTGTTTATAGATGTTGTGCTCGTTGACATGTGCCAAATACTATAAGCTATTTAGCATATAATATTTAACTCAAATGTTTGTTGTCTGTCATCCATCTATTTATCAGTCTGTCTTTCTGTCTACCAATCTATTTGCCTATCTCTTTATCTATTGATTTATCTATTTATCTGTCATGTATAACATGTCTATTTATCTATCTATCTGTCTGTCTGTCTGTCTGTGAAAATTATGTGTTTTGCTCACTATCCACAATAGTGAATTTATGAAAAAATAGGTGTCCAAGAACAGATGTAAGGATAATAAATATGTGATACATATACTAAATGGAAAATTTCAGCAATAAAGAAAAAACAAATTATTCCATATACAGAAAAATAGATATACTAGATATCTTTATATTAAAAGACTAAGCCAATTTAAGAAAGACAAATAGTATGTTTTCTATCATTTATTGTTCTTAACATTTTAACTTTTTAACTGGTAACAATTTGTGTATTCATTCAAAAAAGTACTTTGGATATTTATGAAAGGAAGAAAAATCCCAATATTAAACTTTTGAAATATCTGTTTTTTAATAGTAAGCACTAATCTTTTAAAATACTTTATTCTTTGAGAATTTTATACATGTAGAAAAATGTATTATCATATTCACTCCTCCAAGCCCCTCCCCTTCAAATCCTCATCCCAACTTCATGCCTTAGTTTTTATATTTTTGTCCTCCACTGAGTCCAATCATTGCTGACTTTCACTATGTACTTCCACCCTTGTGTATCTAGACTAAGAGAGTATCCCTTCGTGGGGAGTAGTGTCCCATCCTAGAGCCTTCATCCAGTAGCTGATGGAAAGAGAAGCAGAGATCCACAGCCAAGCACTGAGCCAAACTCCTGACATCATACAATACTTATACAAGGCACTACAGCCTTGGTGAGTTCTCAAGTTTTGCAGCATTCATGTTCAATAGACTGTGTTAATTTTTATACTTTTAGAAAAACTTTGGAAAGTAAGAATTTACTTAAATTGTTGATAAAAATAACAGCTACACAAGCATTCAATATTTTTCTGTGTGGTTTTCCTGTGAGATGTTTAGGGTCATATAATTAGAAATGTGGACTGAGAAAACTGTGCAGCTGAGATTGTAATTCAGTGTTCAAGCATTTCTGTCTGCATGGAGATAATTGCAACTGATCTTTTATCAAGTATAATTCTTAGATAATGAATCAAGATGAAATATTAACTGCTTGTATAATATCACTTCTTATGAGATTTATATGCATGTATGTATGTATGTATGTATGTATGTATGTATTAAAAATAATTAAATTTTAGACTGATGAAATAGTTCATCATGTAAAGACATTTGTTACCAATCTGGCAACCTGGCTTTGCCCCTCAGATCCCCTACATTGAAAAGAATAACTGACACAAACATACACATCATGATACACATATTGCCACCACAATATATGCTTTAAAGATATATTTTGAACAGTAATTGCAGATGCACAGAAACATTCCTTTGTCTCATTTCAAAATTAACCTCGTAATAAACTCTGTTATTTATTTATTTATTTTTCTACTCTCAAATTAATGAGTACAGTAATCCCAATGAGTACAGTTTCCCCTCCCTTCTTTCTTCCTCGTTACTCCTGAAATCCCACTTTTAAACTTTCAACCATCTACTGGTTTTTGCAGCATTTTATATTTAACCCTTTTCATTTCACTGGCGACATCTTCTCTGTAATTTTCAGTCAGCTTCCATATGTTATTATTCCTCTGTTTCTGAATCTGCTTTTGTTATCTCATGCTAGAAATCTCCATGTCTCTGGCTTTATATGTTTCAATTGTTCTGTGTACCAGAACTCACATGCATTAACATTTCTAAGAGCCATACTTTCTGAGGCTGAAGGTATTTAGTTTCTATGCATTCTTGCAGAAGATAGTGTGCACTCAACCTTGGCTACACATTCTTCAGTGCCTAATTACATTCAAGTGAATTTTCATCAGCTTCTACTTCGGCCTCATTTAAGCAGGCTTCCTCTAAAGAAAAGCTATCATAAGGTAGAAAGCTTTTCTTTACCTGTTGGTAAGTAGCCATGTAAACAAAGACTGTGTGGTTGTAACATAACTTTTTTGTTCTTTAAATGATCTATTAAGCTTTAGATTAATTAGAAAAACTGATCCAATTTTACTTATTTTATATTTTGGTTTGATATTTTTAAGCATGTTAATTATTAGCAGGGCTCTAAATGTAGTCTTTAAAAGCATATGTCTTTGATTTTTCAATTTTGTATATGTGTGTTTGTCTGCATATATTAAGGTGAACCACATGTGTGTGATGTCCTCAAAGGGTAGAAAAGGGGGCTGGATTCCCCTCCAACTGGAATTACAGAGAGTTATGAGCTTTCAGGTGGTGCTGGGAATTGAAACCAGGTGTTCTGTAAAAACAATCAGTATCCTTAACTGTGGAGCCATTTCTCCTGTGCATTAACTGAGTCTTTTGACTGAAGTTTAGGTTTCCTAGTTGTTCCAAGACACTAAGCCAAATAAAACAATGCCTTACTGCCATAGTAGAACCAATATCATGAACTTCCAAGGAGCCCCTCAGAATTTCTCTGGGAAGACAGCCTTATTCTAGTGTTCATTGGGGCTACAGGACAATGTATCTATTCACCTCTACTTCTGTCTTCTTTCATAGTGAATTCACTCACAGCACACATGAGAAATGATCCTGTAGAGTTGTCTGCAGCAATTCAAGATAATATGTTAATTTGATTGACAATGTGCCTTTTCATATAATTTTCTTTTTTCTGTGCCTCCTTTTAACAACCCATCCTTTCAAATCATTTCTATTTAAAAATGGTTTATTTTGTTCTTTCCTTTTTTGTTTGTATGATGAAACAGTCCATCATGTCTCATATTTCATTTTACATAGTCTCATAAGAAAACTATTCTACCATAAGCCTACAGTTCCAATTTCCCACCTTTTTTTCTTATAATTAAGTTGTTTCCTTACCATCATTTTAAATACTCTTTATAAACAATTTGTATGTGCTTTATGTGAGTCATTTGCACACATATTTTTCCTTCCAGTCCTCACCAGTCCAGTACCTAAACTGAGAAATCAGAATTTCATGCTAGAATAAGAAATTAAATAAATATATGTGGCTAAAGCTTCTAAATGCTTTCTGTCTTATTCTAAAGTCAGTGGCCATCCATTTCATCTTGTCATTGAAATGAAAGAAAAGGAAAATATAACAGAAAATGATATGCCTTAAAGTTTCAGAAAGTTAGACTGAGTACTAGAAAAGGGTGTGGAAGAAGATTGGAAGTCATTGATGTGTGACACAGGATGGTGTTGATATATTACTAACAATAAAGCCTTTGACATTTCAAAATGTTTTTATAATCAAATGCATGCTTGGCATGGAAACCAACTCCAAAAATAGTGTAGCCAAGGACTGCTAAGATCTACTTGAAAGGAACAGACTTTAATATTCAAATTCTCTCAGAAATTTTCTGTTATCAAGAATTATATGCAGAAAACAGATTTTATACATTATAAATATAAATATATATTGAAGATCTGACATTTAAAACAGATTATTTACTTGACAAATATTCTGTTTCATGTAGCTATGGACACCTACTGAAATGGGCACAATGAGTTTGCAAATGTAAATGATGGCTTATAGAGTTAGCTGAACTCGATTTAATTGAAATAAAAAGATATACTCACAAAACTTTAATTGAATAAATTTAATAAGAGTAGAATTAGCTAGCAATATATTCTTACTAAGCTTCATATACTGAAAAATATAAACTTTATATATTACAAGCATTTCTCTAGAGAAGGGAACTCAATTCATCAATGTTAAGTAGGTTGATCAAGATCAGTCAAGTCACTGCACTATAGAGTTGGAGAACATATCTGGCTCAGAGAGTACTTGTACTCTGAAATAAATCTTGAGTGCCTTCTTGAGCTATTTAAAATTAAACTAGGAAGAATGCTGTGTAAATTTTAAAGTACAAGGCTTGTTGGACTTCATGGCAGCCAATAGCTATTTATAAAGGAGAGATGAACACCTTTAAATTTCATAGGTGTGTACCTAATCTTACAAATTTGGAAGGTTGGGTTATCACTAATTGTGAAATGTTTTTAATCAACATATAATAAATATAACCCCATTTGTTATATAGAGTCAATCCTATGATAGTTTGAAACGATGTGGCTTTAGCATTGCCTTCAGATTGTAGTGGACAATACCATTAGTTTTCAACTTTGGTAAAGTATTGGAAAAGTAAAACCATGTCCAATTGTAGTCAAATAGCATTAAATTAAGAATAGTAAGACTTTCAAAGTTCTCTGGGAACTCCAAAAGTAAGGACCTTTTTTTTTTCACATCTTAGCTGGAGTAGAGTAAGAGACATATATTTTTTTTCTATTGATATTGAACTAAAACATTTCTACAATGTACACATCCATCCCGTTAATGTATACCTGCTTGTATCTATAGCTTAAGATTTGAAGCCCTTAAAGTAATTTAATGAATGACAATTTCATTTCAGCAGTAGGCGTTTATGTAATCTTATTTGTTTCATCTTTAAATTTAATATTAAGTATAAAATTTAATCATTTAACAAAATTGAATTTAGTAAGTGTAAGGCACACTTATATCAACCTTACAAAATTTAGTCAACCATTTTTCGAGTTTACTGAAGTTATTGAAATTTTTTCTATTCTATGTAGTGCACACATATATAAACAATTAGGTACTATGATTTCCTGAGTCTCTATACATATAAGACATTTTTCTTATAACCAGTTCATAACTCAAATTACATTATTCCTTCTGATGGAATGAATAATTGAACTTCATAGTATAATTGCAGTTTATTTGAAGTCACTTAAATATCCAGGAGTAGAGCCAAGATTTTAAACCTGGTTTAATGCCTACAAAATCTATTTTCTCTCTAAAGCACTCTGCAGGCTTTGCATACAACATAGTGGCTAAACAACCATATCTATTAATAACATAATAGATAAATTTAAAGATGGACAGATGGCTTACAAGAGACACCTAAGTTATTTCATAACTTTTTTAAGTAGTAAAGATTTATAACATGTTAAACTATGGATTGTGGTTTAATTGAAAACATTTTATTGCTGTTCAAAATATGGTAAATAAATGGGCAGACTCATGCTTGACTTTCCCTTGCATGAAATATAGATAAATTATGTCACAAATGACATTTTTTCTCCTAGTAGTTACAATACCATCAGATCTTTGTAACTTTATCATATAAATACAAAAAAATCATAAAAGTAAATTTAAAGGGGTAATTTTGGTTTAGAGGAATGAAATAATCAGTCCATAATTAAGCTTTTGTGTATAGTTTGCATGATTTTCTATAAATAATATATTCTGACTAGAGATGGAAAGAGATTATTTGAAGATCTATGAAGGCTTTAGAAATCGATGAACAGAGAAGTTAGAAGAACAAGTCAAGATAACAGCCACATTAGTGATGGGCTTGCTTATTTGAAGGCACCAATAAAACAAAATGGCAAAGTAAGAGAGAAATTTGAGGAGCACACCTACTGATTTTAGACAAAATCCACATTAGGATTAAATTACCAGTGTTTCTCTTTGATAGAGTAGAATTAATTATTTAAAGTTGAGCATGTCATTGACTTCCCATGGACAGAACCAGGGAGGTCTCACCCTTCTCACCATTCACTATGTTCATGATTTTGTAACTCTTCGAATAAGCCTGCCTCCACAACAAGGTGAGCTTATTAGTTCTATTTGGATGGAAATCTTTGTTAATACAATCAGCAAAGCTTAATTATTCCTGATTCTTTCCATTTGCATTTCCAAAACATTTTAAACTAAGTTTCTTTCATGATGGTCCTTCACCCACGTGATACCCATATGTACCTACAGGCCAAATATCAATACTCACAAAATATAAATTATGACCATAAGAAAGAATGCAATTAAACTTAGTGATGCACATCAAAGCTTTTGAAAAACAAAAACAAACAGCAACAAAAATAACAGATCTAAAGAAATAATAAAGATAAGAGAAGAAATTTATGAAATAGAAATGAAAAAGCACCACATTAATTCTCATGATTTGGAGACAGACAGAAGCAAGTTGATCTCTTTGAGTCTGGAACTGTTATGGTCTACATTGTGAGTTCCAGGAAAACAAAGGCTGCATAGAGTTCCCCTGTCTCATAAAAAGAAAAAAAAATAGAACAACAAAAACAAAATGTAAAAAAAAAATCAGTGAAATGAACATTTGTTGTTTTGAAAAAATTAACAACATTGACAAACCCGTAGCGCAATTTACCAAAAAAATATAAGATTCAAATTAATGAAGTTAGAGATGAAAAGATGATCCTACAATAAACACAATTAAACATGATTATATGAATATTTCAGAAAACCTTTATTTTATTAGGTTGAAATATCTAAAATAAATGGATGAATATTTTTGTTTGTTTTTAATTTAGATTGATGGAATAGAGACCTTCATAAACTATGAGAAGACAGAAGGAAGAATCAGGGCAAAGACAATTAAAAAACTAAGCCCCAAATTTCTCATTCAGAAATAGGAAGAGTTTCTGAGCTCTTACTCACATGCTTGTGGTCAGATGTTTAGTAGATATCTAAATTACTTTTCTGTTGCTATGATAAAGTACCCTAGGAAAGGCAATTAAAGGGAGAAAGGAGTTTTGTGTTTCTGGCTGATATTTCAATAATAAAGTTAATTGTGGTGGAAAGGACATGAACTTGAATCAACTGGTCACATCCCATCCATAATCAGAAAGAAAGATCATGAATTCATGTCATACTGATACTCAACTCTTGTTCTCCATTTATAGATTCCAGGAAACCAATTCACAAAGTAGACTGTCTTAACTCAGTTAAGAGAATCATGAAAATACCCTAGACGCATGCCTAAAGGTCCACGTCCCAGGTGATTATAGTCTTAGAACCTGACAGTTAACACCAATCATCAAATAAGATAAGTATTGTGTTGCAATGTTACTTATATCAGCAGCCTTTAGCTTTGAGACTGACTTTAAAGATGTATTTTGTTACTTGAGAAATGAATAATAGCAGATATTATAAAATAGCATCAAAATAAACTAAGCCTATACAATAATTTAATTTATTGTTTATTCATCTTCTCTTTTCTAAGAGTAAGTCTGTGACATCCACTCCACTTGGTAATTTGAGCTGAATAGCCCTGGACCCTCAAAAGGATGACAACCAATAAGGCCTATCACTGAATCCTACTGACTACATAGAAGAACATTTTTGATGATTACTTTATATGCCATCCTAGAGTCTTCATCTAGTAGCTAATGGAAGCAGAAGCAAACACCCACAGCTAAACACTGAGCTGAACTCCTGGAATCTATTTGCAGAGAGGGAGGAGTGATGAGGAAAGGGGTCAAGACCAGACTGGAGAAACCCAGAGAAACAGCTGACCTGAACAAGGGGGAGCTCATGGACCCCAGACTGATAGCTGGGGAAGCAGAATAGGATTGATACAGAGCCCCTGAACCTGGGTGTCAGTGAGGAGGCTTGGCAATCAATGGGGCCTCTGGTAGTAGGTCGGTATATATCCTTTATTTATTAATGGACTTTGGGAACCAATTCCACATAGAGGGATACTCTCTTAGCCTAGACCCATGGTGGAGGGCCTAGGCCCTGCTCCAAATGATATGACAGACTTTTAAGATCCCCCAAGTAAGGCCTCACCCTCCCTGGGGAGCACAAAGGGCATGGGATAGGGAGTTGGTGGGGGACAGGGGAGGAGAGGAAGGAGAGGGATTGACATGTAAAACAAGCTTGTTTCTAATTTAAATTTTTTAAAAAAGAAAAAACAACAACAAAAACTTTAATGACCCAACTCAGGTATCTGACTTTTAGGTTTGTATAATAATAAATGTATGTTATCTCAAAAAATGTTATCTCCAACTTTGAGAATACACAAAATACAACATGTAAAATAAAGCAAATGGCAGACATTTACATCAAAAGTTCAAATACATGTGGATAGGACCTAAGAATTATTTTGTAAAATTTGTGATTCATGTTATAATTTTTCAAATTTTTAATAGAGAAAAGGAAATATTTTCTTGTAAAATGAGTGTGTAATGATAAATCTTTCTGCCAAGCCACCCAAGCCCTGCCACCACGTGGGTGGACAAAATAACAAACACATACATATATTAGGTGCAATGATGCTGGCCAATGACTAGGATTTCTTAATCTATATATTTTATAAAGACTTCTCTGATAGGACACCAGTGGCAGGTGTCTTCTCTTGCCAGGATTACATGGTGGCTCTAGAGCAGAGAGCAGGAGGAAGAGATCGACTTCCTGCTTATCCCTGCTTATATTCTGAATCTGCCTGCTATGTCAATTCCTGCCTGGATCACAAGACTTTACTACATTTCCCAGAATCCTCCTTGACTCTTAGTCCCACCTATTTTGCTTTCCTATTAGCCAACAGTACTTTATTTATAAGTAACAATAAGACAATAAGACAAACATATGCACAGAGGACTTTCCCCATCATGAGTGTCTTGTGTTATTCTAAGATATCTACAGAAATATCTGTTTAATACTAATTTTTCTATTATTTTGGAATTCATTAAAGTTTGTCTTTATATAATACCTTTACAATTTCATTTTTTTTTTCAGTTTTTTCCAGACAGGGTTTCTCTGTGTAGCTTTGGAACCTACCCTGGCACTCGCTCTGGAGACCAGGCTGGTCTCAAACTCACAGAGATCCACCTGCCTCTGCCTCCTGAGTGCTGGAATTAAAGGTATCCACCACCACTTCCAGGCAGTTATGCTATGTTTACTCATTTATGCAATATTTCAAAAATCAGATGCTAATGAATGATAATTATTATATCAGATTTCCCATTAAAGCTCATTAATAAAAACAAATATAACTTTATTATTCTATGCTTCATTCAAATTATGGAAAGAAAATCTCATAGAAATATAAGCAACTTTTTAAAAGCCCATAGAAATTTACCTAGACAAATTCAGACACTTGGTTATATAATGTTTTAAAGTTATTTTGTTTTTTAACTTAGCATGCTACTGTGCCCTTAAACAAACTCTGTGTAGAGATGTACTAAAAAAATAGTGCTATTAAGACAGTTCAAAATTGTGGTTGAGATAACTGACTTTACAGTTACAAAGTTCATGTCACTGTGAGCAAGTTATTATCTTAGTCCCTTTCTCTTTATATCTAAGCTAAATTAAAAGAATAGAATCATTATTAAGTTTATGCATGTCAAGGAATCTGGTGGGCTTTGAGGTCATTCACTGAACTCATGTATAAATTGAGCCCCCATTGCCAGGTACCACAAAGGTAACAGAACTGCTGGTATATATATATAATATATATATTGGTAATATATAATTTGAATTTTTGGAAACTTTAGCTGTGGTGTCAACTTTGGAAAAAAGTATCCCAGTTTACTGCGTTCAGTTGGCATTGTACAAAAGTTAACAGCCATATTGTTCTAGAAATGTTGAACTTAATTTTTTTCCATTTGTACAGGGGTAATGCACTGTATTAAATATATAAGGTCTTAAAAAACAGAAGGGATTTTGAGAGCCCATCCCATATGAAGGGATGCTCTCTTGACCTGGACACATGGGGAAGGGGCTAGGCCTGGCCCAGGATGATGTGGTAGACTTTGGGGAGCCCCTTTTAAGGGCCTTACCCTTCTGGGGAGTGGAAGGGGAATGGCTAGGGTCAGGTGGGATGTTGGGGGAGGGGAGGGAGAGGGAGAAGGGATTGACATCTGAAGCAAGCTTCTTCCTAATTTGAACTAATAAAATAAAAAAATAAAAAAGAAGGTAGAATCTTAGTCTGAAAAATATATTTGGAAGTCAGAACTCCCAGAAATAATTAAGGTTATTTATGGCTATAATAAAAGGCCTCAAACCAACAGCACTACAACTTTATTAGAAGAAACCTGTGGTTAAGTGTTCAGTGCTCTCACTGTGCTGGGCATAGGAGCCATCTCTTAACTCTGCAGAGAGGTCCTGCCTTCCATAAAGATTGTCATAGTCACTGTTCTATTGCTGTGAAGAGACACCATGACCAAAGAAACTCTGATAAAGGAAAATATTTAACTGAAGTCTTACAGTTTCAGAGGTTTCATCTGCTGTCATGGTAGAGAACACAGCAGCTAACATGGCATTGGAGCAGTTGATAACAACTATGTCCTGATACTCAGGCAGAAAGAAAACAACCTTGTCATAGCACAGGTTTCTGAATCTTACCAGTTTTGTAAACCCCCATTGACATACTTCCTCCAACAAGGCCAAACCTCATAATCCTTCTATTCCTTTCAAACAGTTCCAGTCCTGGTGACTAAGCATTGAAATACATGAGCATATGGTGGTCAGTCTTATTCAAACCACCATATTCTGCTCTCTGGCCACATCATAATGCAAAATGCATTTAGTCCATCTTCAAAAGTCCCCATAGTCTATAATAGTCTCACCATTGTTTGAAACTCCAAAAGTTCCAAATCTCTTTTGAGACTAATGGCAATCCCATTACTATAACCCCATATAAAATCAAACCAAAAATTTATCACATAACTTTCAACCTATCATAGGACAGAACGTGCATTACCCTTCCAAAAGAGATGGAAGGGAGCACATTGAAAAAATATTGTATCAAAACAGTAGGGCAAACATGAAATTCTTATGTTAAAACACAATTCAGAACTCCAACTCTTTTCAGATTTGTTGGCTGCAGCATTCTTCTCTGCCTTAGGCTTGTCCCACATACAATGTGCAGTTCAGTATACTGATTCTGGCATCTCAAACATTTTGAGGACTCAAACACAATCCAGATTTCACTTTCATAGTTACATGAATAGTCTTTCTAGGCTTCCATGCAGGGTCACCATTGACACATGCTTGACCCCCTGGCTTTCATGTAGAGGAATATTCCACAAACTTTTTCTTATATTCTTGAATCCAAAGCCAGAACCACATGGCTGAAGTTGCCAAGCTTTGTTGCTTCATGAAGCTGGGACTTGGCTCCCTTGTTCAAGAAACATTTGTATCAGTTTTCTATTGGTGGTTATTTTCTTTATTTCTTAAACTCTTTTTTGTTTTAGTCTTTTTTTTTAAATTTTAAAACAATCTTTTTCTCATTTCACATACCAGGCTTTTCTCTAAATCTTTTTTACAAGTTGGTAGTTTAGCTGGGTGTGATCTCTCCCTGAGCTCACCTCTGTCTTTATTCCATTTAGCATCAGGCATTTTCTAAAAATTAAAATAGCCTTTAAGAATATGATAGATCTAATTTAAAATGAAATGAGTAAATCCCATAAAGAAATCTATGGAAACACAAGAATAGAAGGAAGCCAGGCGTTGGTGGCACACACCTTTAATCCCAGCACTTGGGAGGCAGAGGCAGGCAGATCTCTGTAAGTTCAAGACCAGCCTGGTCTACAAGAGCTAGTTCCAGGACAGCCTCCAAAAGCCACAGAGAAACCCTGTCTCGAAACACCAAAAAAAAAAAAAAAAAAAATCAAAGAATAGAAGGAAATGAATAAGACATTTCAATTTCAAGATGTGAAAGTAGAAATAACACCTATAAAGGAAATTTAAACTGAGGGGAATCTGGCAATTAAATTGGGGTCCTACAACTGAAAGGAAACGTGGTCACGTGCATTCATCCTTAACCTAGAAGCTCTTTCCAATTACTAACCACTTGCAAATAAAATTAAGTTTTTTTTGTTTTTTTTTTTGTTTTGTTTTAAGAATTTCTCATTGGGGAAACAAACTCCTCTTAATGGTAGGATGCATGTCCAGTAGAAGATGGCCAAAAAGAAAAAGACAAGAAACAAAAAAGCAACTTCTTTGGAGGTTTCTTGCTGCTTTAGTTTTTAGTTTCATCTTATTTTACATTCTGTTCTCTCCCTTTTTATACTACAGGTCTTTTGTGTATTATATATTATGGCTGCCAGTTTTGTGTTTTAATGGGATTCCTGAGTGTGCCAAGGAGCAGCTCTCTGCTTCTATGTCTGTTTCTTGTGACTCTTGGGGAGCTCTCTTTCTTTGTTTTTCTGATGTGTTCACCCGAAACCAACTAAATATTCAAATAAACAGAAAGGATTGCTTATGTTTTCAATAGTTTTTGTTTAAAAAAAAGTTCACGTGTTATTTGATCAAATTGAGGTCACCATCACACTTTATTGAACAGACTCTACTTGAAAACAGAAGAAAACCTTTAATTGGTCTTTCAAACATCAAAGAAATAAAGATTGATTAGAAGGTTCAAAATTAAAGAAGTAGTTCCAATCCTTGGCTTATTTATCCTAATAAATTCTATTGATATTGAAAGAAGATAAATGAGTATATGTACTTATAAATTTACAGTATTTTTGAAGGATTTTCTTTTTAATTTCATTTTCGAGATATAATATAATTAAACACATTCCCTTTTCTTGCTCCACATACTCCCATTTCCCCATCTCCATTTACACACACACACACACACACACACACACACACACACACACACACGATAAATATTAGATTGCTGATACATTGCTGATAGACCATCATATGTATGTGTTTCTCTATTCTGTTTGCTTGTTTGTCTGTCTGACTCTCTCTCTCTCCCTCCAGTGTGTTTGTGTGTGTGTGTGT